GATTACAGTTAATACTGGAAAAATAAAATAATAGTTATTAAGTCAGGTTTTTTTTCAGCATTTTAAAGATAGTATTTCATTGTTTTCTGGCTTTCATTATTTCCAGTGAGAAATTAACTGTGAGTTTGTTATGTTTTTGAAGTTAATATTTTTTTAAAGCTTTGAAAAATATCCTAAGTCTTGGGAAACCCTTCTCCAAGATACTGTAAGTCCAACATTTTAGCAGTGGGTGGAGAAGATTGAGAAAAAATGCAAAATCCATACGTCATTCCAGAATTCAGTGCTAAAGGCAGTATTTTAGTGTCAGATGACTGTGGCGTGGATTTCTCTCCTTCGGTAGTCATTGCTGTCTTTTTCCCTTACCTTCTACTATTGGCAGTCATTATTTACTCTTCACAGTAATGAATTCTCCATCGTGTAGCACTCCATGTACGGCTTAAGTGCATTGTTACCATGAATGTTAACTATTCATCTTTTTGCTTTTCCTGTCCTGTGCTTTGTATTGTGATGGGACTTTTAAATTTTTAACATTATGAATATTGTAACCATGTTTTCTAAAAGTTCTGATAATGAAAATGAGAATGATTATGGTACCAACATGAGCATTACCCAGACATTGCCAATAGAAGATGCTGAAGGACTAAATCATTTTAATGACAGATGGAAGGACTCTTACACCTGGGTTAGGGAGAGTAAATAACCAAAATAAAGCATACTGATTGCATGATGTGCAAAAAATGTTTTGGGATTGATCTTGGTGGAGAAGGGGGTATAAAAGCAAATTTGGAAACTGAATTTTGCAAATAATTTTAAGTCAGTAAAGTTTTTTTCATCTCCCCAAAAGACCTCACTGGTCAGTTAAAAGTAGTGGCTATTAAGTGAATTAGCTTGGGCATACTACACAAGTGAACACACCTTAGCCTGTCCCTTTTTTTTTTTTTTTTTAAGATTTTGTTTACTTATTTGTCAGAGAGAGAGAGAGAGCAGGGGTGAGTGGCTGGCAGAGGGAGAAGCAGGCTGCCCACTGAGCAAGGAGCCTGACTGGGACTCCATCCCAGGACTGGGATCATGACCTGAACCAAAGGAAGACATTGAAGGACTGAGCTACCCAGGCACCCCACTTGCTTGCTTTTTAAAACTAGAATTAATTTTGGGTGCCTTTGGTAAGAAGTTTATGGACTGAAAGGAATTGGTGGCCCTTTGAAATTTAGACCTTACTCTGGTAGATCTTACTAGCAATCTTGCTTTCTGTAGTATATCGTGTTACATCAGATTGTGGCAATGAGAGTGTATTTTCCATTGGTGTTTGGTACTTTGATTTGAAAAAAATGGGAGCTTTAGATATCTTCTTGATTTCTAAGATTTTAATAAATTGCAGAAAAAAATAAACTTTGCTCATATATTTGTATATTTAGCAAACAGTGCATTTGATCTTAGCCAAAAGGCCCAGAAGCTATAGCACACAGTACAAATGTAAATTTTAACAAATTCTTTTCAGTCCATAAAGTTCGTACCAAAGAAAATGAAAAGATCTTACCTGCTAAATATCATATATTCCTTCTATACAATACTGCTAAAATAGGGTATCACTTGCTTACCTGTGATACTGAGGTTTTCATAATAAAGTTTTTTGGTCAATTTTTAGTTTCTTCAAAACATTAGAAACAATGAGGTTTTTTTTTTTTTTTTTTTTTTTTTAAGAGTCATTTATTTATTTGACAGCACAAGCAGGGGGAGCAACAGAGGCAGAGAGAGGAGCAGACTCTGTGCTGATCAGGGAGACCAATTCAGGGCTTGATCCTAGGACCCTGAGATCTTGACCAGAACCGAAGTCAGCCACTCAACCAACTGAGCCACCCAAGTGCCCCAACAGTGAGATTTTTGACATTATAAAAATGTCACAAAATAACTTCCTTAGACACTTGCTTCAACATGGCTGTGATTGTTGCCAGCCATAGAAAAGATGCTAAAATACTGACATACAGTGAAGTCATATTTTCAAAGAATGTGGTAAGAATAGTGTCCCCTAATTTGAAAATACTTTAAAAACAGATATGGAAAAGAATTACAGTAAATAGAAATTTATAAATAAATTTATAAATAAATTACTCTCAACTAATCTTTGAAGAGGTTAAAAGGAACCTTGAAAAGGATAGATTGTCCTGAGTTGTGTATGTATAGGCTACAAAGAAACCTCAATTTGTCAAAGAAGGACAAATTTTTTTTTTTTTGAAATGAGATTGTTGAGAACTCAAAAAAATACCATAAGAAGGAGATAGTTAGCTTAACAGGATTTTCTTAGTTTCTTTACTAAAACTATAATTTATTTGGAATTCACCTTTGGTCTCACAAGTTTAAATGACCTCTGTGTTTTAAAACCCATTTTCCTTGAGAAAGAGAGGTAATAACTTTTAGTGATATCCATTATGTTTGAAATGTTTAAAAAGGGCATTTTAGATACAAATAGTCTATATGTAAATTTATAGATGCAGTTCTTAGTAAGTAAAATATAATTATTCTGTGCCTAAATAGTTTTACTGAAAAGACATTAATTTAACTTGACATCATCACATTGAGCTGATAACAGAAGTAAGTGTGACGTAGACTTAAGAGCAGACCTGAAAGTCAAAGTGAATTTTGTATTTGATTGTATTCATTTATACCACTTGGTTTACCAAAAAAAAAAAAAAAAAAAGTGATGTCTTAAAATCTGCAAGCAGATCAGAGAAGTATTGTTAAAAAAGGAGACTCAAAAAAGTAAAATACCTATGGAATCATGGAATAAAAAGAAAGTAATTTTTTGATTAAGTATAGATAGTCTGTTTAGTCTTATTGTAGGTGTATAACTTTTTTTTTCAAAGATTTTATTTATTTAACAGACAGACACAGTGAGAGAAGGAACACAAGCAGGGGGAGTGGGAGGGTGAGACGCAGGCTTCCCACTGAGCAGGGAGCCCGATGCTAGGCTGTACCCCAGGACCCTGAGATCATGACCCGAGCCAAAGGCAGATGTTTAATGACTGAGCCACCAACGTGCCTCTGTGTATAACTTTTTTCGAGGTCTTATATTTATGCATTTTAACAATACACAATAATATAGCCTACAATATTTAAATATCTTTTAAAAAAGCTTAAAAAGTTACATAGTGTATTAGAGGGTAAAACCTAGTATGTTTCTCTCAAATATTATTTGTTTAATTAGTCTTATTAATTACTAATTGCTGCTGTTAACTAGTCCTCTTGTTTTATTTAAATAACCACATTTGTGTGAAAAGTACAGAATACAGATTAATAGATAATTTTCGAAAAACACATTTTTGCATTTTTATATTAAAGTGGTAAAAAATATACATAAATATTTTTTCTGTACTTATTTTTTTTAAGTAGGTAGATCTGGCTGCTTGTGTCCCATGAAAGCTCTTTAAAAGTATTGGTCACGTTATACCAAGGATGAGTCCTAACCCAGTTGTGTATATTTGAGACTATAGGAAAAAGTAAACTAAATAAATGTAAAATGTTACGATTTTTAAGTATGCCTCTTATATCCTAGAAACTGAGTTTCGTGAGCTTAGAGGGCAACTGACAGGACAAAATAAGCTAAAATCAGTCCCTCTCTAATTTTTATCACATACTTGAAGTTGTTCAATTCTTTTTTTGTTTCAGGGGAAACCACACACACACCACCACCACCACCACATCCTCCTCTACACACACAAACAACAAATAAGCACTCCTTCCTTCCTCCTGCAAAAAACCCTAACCACCTACTTGGGTTTACTAACTAGAATGTAGAGTGAACCAGGGAGCATTACACATTGTGTAGGCCTTTTCCTACACATTTATACCCTGTTGTTTACTTACTCTTGAAACCTTTTCTCCTTTTCTGTATTTATCCAATCTTTTCCTTGGATATTCTGTTGGGTAGAAAAATTATTTAAACAATGCATTCTTGTGCAAGTTTCTTTAGAATTTCCCATCCTGATCGTTCATTTATTCTCCAGAGCCTTCAGAGTTAGAAATTCAAAAGCTGGCATGCCAAAGATGACCATATTTCTAGCTTTTCAGCATTTTTTCTTTCTTTAAAGAAATTTTTCACATTGAACATCAAATTTTATATTTGTGTGGCATATCTGTCATATTATGCTCTTTAAAATGGAAGTTGTTGGAAAAATCAACATTTTATATTTTTTGACCTCCCGTATCACACTGGAACTTTGCTGCAGCATTTTAAGCCAAATTTAGGAGAACAGTAATCTCTTAAAGACTATTTAAAAAGATTGTCTCTAGTGTTAAATAAGTAACAAATGACTTACTCTTTTGGCAGTCATATTAAATACACATCCAGGACTACTTGATACTCAGCACTAACTCCTCATGACAGTATTCCTATGTGCCAGACACTGGTTGTATGCCTTAGAAATCTCTTTTTTTTTTTAATATTTTTTTTTTTTTAAGATTTTATTTACTTGAGGTAGACAGAGGGAGGGAGAACATGAGCAGGGGAACAGGCAGAGAGAGGGAGATAAGCTGACTCTCTGCTGAGCAAGTAGCTGACTCAGGGCTCAGTCCCAGGACTCTGGGATCATGACCTGAGCCGATGGCAGCTGCTTAACCTACTGAGCCACTTAGGTGCCCAGATAAATCTCTTTTAATATGGCGAAATATTTATATGGTTATATAATAACCATAGGAAGTATTATCTCCATTTTACAGATTGAGGAAATGAATCCTATTGAGAGGTAACTAATTCAGCTAATGTCAAGATTTAAATCCATGTTTGTCTCCCAGTGTACTTTATACTACATGATGACAAGAAGGTTTTTTGTTTTGTTTCAGCCTTCTTAAATGTCAAGGTGTTGTTTACAAACCAAGGATTTTTTTTTTTTTTTTACCAATTACTTTCAATAATATGGTTCCATCCATTATATAATTCTTATACTCTAATAATTAAGTTGTATTTAGAAACTCAAAAAGGTCATTATTTTATTTTTCTCTGTTAGGCATCTCCAAGAGTTACTGTTGATGATTATTTGGTAGCAAAATTAGCAGATACTTTGAATCATGAAGATCCAACCCCTGAAATCTTTGATGACATTCAAAGGAAGGTATTATATATAACATTTGTCATTATATGTTTCTTATGAAAATGTGTTTTTATATGCATGTAATTGATTTTTTAAAAGGTTATTGAAACATAGAAGTATAATGGTAACTAAAAAGATAAGTTAACTAACACTTCTCATTAAAAAAAAAAAAAGTAGGCCAGTCTTTTGTTTGTTTATTTAAATGACAAATGAGGAAAATCCTTATTTGGGTTGTTATTTAAATTTGACTAAAGGGCCAGATATATAGTCATAGAATTTCATGAGTTAATGATGATGTATAAGTGGCCTGACATAAATTTATTTTACTGTGTTCCTGGAGCCTATATGTAGACTTGTTTCTTAGAGAACACTAGTTCCTGGAACATTACCTATAACCTGTCATGTGACTTGCCTTGCACTGGGACCATTTTCAATGCACTTAGGTACTAGAGGGATTGTTAATTTTGAAATTAGTTGAGAAATCATTAGTTGTGATGTAGGCTTATTGCTGGCACCTTATAAATTTGGAACCTGTGATTGATTATAACAAGACCTCATTCTAGCTTTTGTTGAGATCTTATTAGTGAAAATTAGTACATTATCTGTATTAATGGTGAAATATCTTGATTTATTTCAACAAGGTTTATGAATTGATGCTACGAGATGAAAGATTTTATCCTTCCTTCAGACAGAATGCACTTTATGTGCGCATGTTAGCTGAGCTGGATATGTTAAAAGATCCTAGTTTCAGAGGATCAGATGATGGTGATGGAGGTAAGGTGGCACATGTGCACGTGTGTGTGTATGTGTGTGTGTGTGTGTGTGTGCGCGCGCACGCGCGCACGCACGTATACGTAGATCTATTCCTAAATACTGTTGACCAAAAGACAATGTTTCAAGCAAGGTAAAAAATGGCTTGAAGCCCAATATAAATTGTAAAATATTTAAAACTCCATAAATGACAAAATTTAGTTACTACACTAAATTAAAAGGCTGAAAATTTAATAACACATTAAAACATAACTATAAAAACCTTGAAGTCTTAAGAAGAATGTTTTCTTGAGTTTTGTCACCCAAATATTTTTTATTATATTTTCCATTTTGCTAGTAACTAATAATATTCAAGAATAACAGCGGGATTATTGAGAAGATTAAATGAGATAACAAGCCATGATCCTGAGAATGTACCATAAACTATATAAAGCATTATTTAAAAAAAAATAATTTTTTTCTCTTTTGTAATACTGTTTTCCAAATCCTGCATTGTATAAGGTGGAAGAAACTAGTGAGTGGCTTATTCCAATCTTTCAGTTGTTTTCAAATGAGGATATTATCAGTATGACATAATAAAGAAAGCAGGCTTTGAGAATCAAAATATTTAGATTTTACTGCCGTTCTACTACTTAGTACCATGGTGTTGACCAAACACTTAATTTAAGTCTAGTTTTTCGCAGTTGTAAATTTAGAATAATAATTTTGTCATAGTAATATCTTACCTCAGAGTTGTTGTTACAGCATTGTTGGATTTAAAGGAAATTATGTATAGGTGAATGATTTATAAACTAAAACATCCATTTTTATTAGTAGTATAAAAGCAGTTATTTAAAAATAGTGGGAGAGGCAGCCTTTAGAGCACAGGCGTGCATATTATGAAGTCCAATGACCATTTTACTGGTGATCCAATTCAGAAGTACTTATAAAACTAATAGAATATGTAAGGTGTGATAAGCTTCCTGGTATGTTCAAATAAGCAATGGAAATAAAAAGTAAGTGGGCAAGAGTTCACTAATTATTTTGAGAGTAATTTTAACCATTTATGAATAGGCTCTATGGGCAGGACTACTTCAAGTTGGAGATACAATACATCTGTTAAATAGTTAGCATTGCTTTATTTTTATCCATCTATCTACCTATCTATCTATTTATTTGATAGAGGGAGACACGGTGAGAGAGGGAACACGAGCAGGGGAAGTGGGAGAGGGGGAAGCAGGCTTTCCGCTGAGCAGGGACCGCAATGTGGGGCTCCATCCCAGGACCCTGGGATCATGACCTGAGCTGAAGGCAGACACTTAACAACTGAGACACCCAGGCGCCCCAGTTAGCATTGCTTTAAAAAATAATCTCTGTTACAGCAGGTTCTTACTCTTCTCATCCCCTCTCCCTCCTCCTTCTTTTCTTGGTCTGTATTAGTAAGAGTTTACTTTTTAAATAATCTAAGAAATCCAGTTACAGGAGTTTGCATTTGAGTTTTAATAATTCTATATTGGCTGTTGATCTAATATTTTGAGTTTTTAAATTAATACTTTTTCTGGTTTAATTTATAAACCTGGAATAATGTTCCATTAACTGGATTTGATTGCATAATTAAGGAAGTTTGGGTTTTTTTTTAAGAGTGCTTCTGTGGGAGCTGAGTAAAATTCAGTGTAACTCAAATTTATCATACAGTGTTATCTGTACTTACTGTTTCTATTGAAAAATCTTTTACAGAGCTGCTATGAAATTTGCAAGTAGCAGCGCACTATATATAAAAAATATATAAATAAATATATAAATATTTTTATTTTCATTTCATCTAGAGATTCCTTAGTCTAGAGATTTCTTAGTATTATATAGGATTTGCTATATGACCCAGAATGAGCGGAGATAAGTTAAATCATAATCAGCCAATTGTTTGAGCTTCTAAGTAATCTATAATTTAAAATGATGATAGTAGTGTTACATTCTGTGGCAGTATAAGAACTATTGTATAAGAACTCTACTAAAAGTCTTGTAAATTGACTTTAACTTTTATTCATACCTTTCTAGGCAATCTACTTAGTTGTCTTCTGTGCAACTAATGGAACCAATTTTTTTATCAGAAACTTCCCAAAACTTACTTAAAGCATAAAGTACATTAAAAATTTTTTTCTGCAACTTGTCTTGATCGGAAGTAAATGTACTTCTCTTATGTATCAGCCACAGAGTCATCCTTCACATTGGAATTATTGATTGAACTTTGGAATCATATACATTAATGTATCTTTTGTCTTTCTAAGACATTGCTTTTTAATATTTTTTGTCCTTTTTGGTGACCTTTTATAATCTTTATAACTAAGAAATTGTCTAACTCCTTTTCTTGAAACCATTTGAAAAAAGTATGTAGAATGATGGGTATAAATAAATGTCAGATTTATTGTCTTTGCTGGTGTTTAGGTTTTAGGCAGTTGCTGGGATTTTTTCAAATAGTAATGCTTATGATTTTCTTGTTATTATAAGATTATTTAATCAAAAATAGGCCTTCCCCACATTTTTTGTTATAAAATCAGTTTTTATCTTTAAAATTAAGTTTCTTGAGGTGCCTGGGTCACTCATTCTGTTAAGCATCTGCCTTTGGCTCAGGTCATGATCCCAGGGTCCTGGGATCAAGCCTTGTGTGGGGCTCCCTGCTCAGTGGAGAGCCTGCTTCTCCCTCTCCTTCTGTGCCCCACCCCCGCTCATTTTCTCTTTCTCTCTCTCTCTCAAATAAATAAAATTAAAAAAAATATTCTTGACAGTTTATTTTTTAGACATTTTAAAAATGATTCTCTAATCTAGTTTTTAACTGTATAGATAATTTTTTTAAAAATGGAGGCTACAGGTGAGCCTAAAATGAATGGGCCAAGTCTTATTATGTGTGATTGTATCCTTCAGTGGGTTGGTTTTTTTTCCCCTTCTGGGGAAGGAATTTCATTCCTATTTAATCAAACTTCAGTAGGTAGGTAGGTAGCTGAATGGCTATTGTAATTATGTGTGTTCTTTCTCCTCCCCTTTTTTCCTTCTCTTTCTCTTTGTATTGCTTTTTTAAGTTAGTTCAGCCTTAAAATACTTTTAAAGTTGATATTTCTCATTCATTAGAACATTAAAACCATATTAATTGATTAACCATATTAATACATTTAATGATTAAATATTAAAAATATCTAATGCTCTGTTTTAATTTTACTCACAGTTTTCTTGCCATATGAAATCATACTTTCTTTTGTTTTCTAATGTTCATAGGCAGTTATCAAATTCTTGACTAAATGTGGGCCTTGATTGATTTTAGACTCTATTTCTGGATCTTCTTATTGTTGATCACAAAAATAAATTACACCTTGTTTTCCTTCTGATTGCTCTTTTAATTTGATTTGTCTTTGGTAGAAAGATTGAAGAGGTGGGCAGACTACAGAAGGAAGTAGGAGGTATATAATTGAATAAGGTGGATAGAGAACTGTTTGCTCATTTTAGTTATCACTTTGCTGTTAACGAGGGGGTAATCCTGGGTGGAATTTCCTGTTTACTTTTTGTGACCATAGGTCTGAGGGACCAAGAAATGTTCTTGGGCATTTAGAGTTGTTGAAGCTGGAAAGCAACACGAACTGCTTCTTTCTAAAAGTTATAGAAAGTGGTTTTGAAGACCTGTTTAGATACCTAGATTCATAAATAATCTCTTAAGTTCTGGAAGCCATACATTAACTTTAAGCTGTTTATGTTTACTGCTTCAGCATATATTCATTTCTGTTTTTAAGTGAGAGACATCTTAATTGGTAACTCTATGTGCTTATATATAGAATAAAACACCAAAGGAAAAGACATTAATTTTAATAATGTGTAATTGACTTGGCTCTCTAACATTACTTTCTAAAACAATTTTTAGCTTTTTAATTAAATGGCAGTACATATGGAGTTTATATATCTTTTTCTATTGGTTATATATTGATCTACGAATCTAGGGTTGTAATGTTTTTGAGCCAAATCTACCAAGAATAAGTGGACATAATAGGTATATATACAAACTAATCTATTTATTCTTCACATGAAAGAAAAATTTTATTTGTATTATTTCTTAATCCAGTAAGACAGAACTAACAAAAAAACCTTGACATTTCCTAATGAACTTCACTCTACAGTGTTTTCTTCATGTTTATGTTTTATCAGAAAACTTTATGTGATACAATAAGAATAAAATATTTAATAATTGCTCTCCTATACATGAATGTCTATTTTTGGTGTGTGTTTTATAGGGGCAACTCAGGTGTGTATGTGTGTGTGTGTGTATGTGTGTGTGTGTGTGTGTGTGTGTGTGTGTGTGTGTATGTATATATATATATATTGTTTTCCTCTGAAATATGTGGCTTGCAAAAACATGAGGCTTAAGGGAGCAGGTGTTTGAGGAGTAGTATACCACAGTTTCCTTTGCTGTTTCATTATGTCTTTGCTTGGGTGACTTTCATTCTTGGTGTTTGAATCTTAGGTAAAAGAACTCTTTCAAAAGTTTTCTTCTATGTACTAACTTGAATTTCTCCTCTCACAGAGTCTTTTAATGGATCTCCTACTGGAAGCATAAATTTGGTAAGTATTATTATGGGCACTTAATTATCACAGTGACTTAAAAATATAAAAGTAAATACACCTAAGTAAATATTAGAAGCTCTCAGATCATCCTTTAATATAATAAGTTATTTACTTTAAATGTTAAATTCACATAATAAGCGTCTCTGAAATTTATTTTTATTTTTAAAAAATGGGCTTATGTTACACCTGCATAATTCAGTTGTATTTGGTAAAAAAGGTGACTTCATTATTTTCACTCCCAATATGTAGTATTTTGAAATGACTTTTTGGTTAGTGCTATGTTGGATAGTAAACTTGTGATATACAAATGTTTACATTGAAATTAGGTTTCTCTTTTTGTGTGTAGAAAAGAAATATAAAATTAGGATGTCTGAAAACTCCCAGATATTTCTTAACGTGTGCACTACAACCAGTTCTGGTTGTTGTAAAAAATTTTTTTAAGCTTAAGGCCTTAGAGTAAATTAAGCAACATTATTTTATGATTACAAATTTAAGGGTGATATATTTTTAGCACATAAGCTGTCATTGGCATTTTATACATTCACAGGGAAGTGTGAAATAGTGAACATTTCAGTTCTTTTGTATATCCATCCTTGTAATGAATAAGTTATTTCATAAAATGCTGCTAGGAAGAAATATGTTCTATGAAAGTTTCAGTCTAGAGTTTATAGGGGATTAGGGAGAGATTGTTTGCTTTGTTCTTATTCTATTCACATTACTTTTTCTTTCACTTTTTGTAAAAGCTAAATGGTCTATAGGTCCATTATCTTATGTTGTATTCTGTATAACTATATTTCAAAAAATAACCTTATTGAGTGTTTTATTACTCTACAAAGTACAGCCTGTAACAAAACACTGAAGCAGTCAGCCATAGTGTTGTGTCAGATATGTTGTAACATTTGAAATATTTTCCTAAATCCTAAATTTGGTATCATTATCATTTATTCTTTATATTTTGTAACCTTATAACAAAAAGGAGTAACTCCTAGAGCATGAAGAAAGTATTAGCAATAATGTTCGTTTATAATGAAAGTTTTCAATTGTGATGAAGCTTCATTCATTTGAAATTTCAAGTAGTCACACTTGTAGTGCTTGTACAAGTGTTTGAACACTAGTAACAAATACTTTTTTTTTCTTTATTCCATATCTGGAATAAGTGCTTTTTCAAATAAGAGTGATTCCTTTGTCACATAGAAATATAAACCACATAGTCTCTCTCGATCGACAAAGGTCACACTTGAGGTCAGTGATTTGCAGTATTTTGTTACTCACATGAATCTATTATATTCAAGGTTTTAAGTAGCTAGAGTCTTTTGAATTCTTTCTTTTTAAATATATAGACAAATTTTAGTGGATAGCTACATTTAAAAAATAGTTTTAAGATTGTAAAATAGATCATTATAGTTTTTTCCAATATAGTAAGCAAAGAAAATATTTAATGTGGGGATTTATTCATTTTTTATTTGGGACTGGCGGGTAAATTTCAGGCATTTCTAGCAGTGCCGTCATTGTTATATGGATTATCACAGTAAATCTGAACTTTCCTTTTTTGTCTCAGAATGATGTTAAAAAAAAATTCTTTTTTTGCAAGCAGTCCAAGAATCTTAACTGAAGGATTACTTTACAAAAATTATATTTTATTTCAGGACAGCATTAGTCTACTTGTTTTGAAATAACATTTTTCTTTTATTAAATAATACTTACTCTAAATCAGAATGTAGTTGGTATTATTTCACTAATTGTAATTTTATAGTCTACTTGATAATTACATTTGCCTTATATCTGTGACTAATGTTTAAGAGATGTTTCATTGGATTTTTTCATCATATTAAATGGAAATAATATTGTTTAAGTGTGCTAAAAAGACATACAGGTACAAAGTTTTCTAACAATTTCTGTGTTGCATAGCATAAGATGGTAACGTTTAAAGCAGTAAGTACTGTTTTGCTGCTGAAATGTTACTACAAAGGAGGGTTAATAATAACAAAAATACTTCTTGAAAATTGTTTTATATTCTCTGTGATCGCTTATAATTAGAAGATCATAATCGATAACAATCTAAATTTTGTAGAATATTCTATTTTCTTGAGGCTTCTATCTTTCACATAAAAGTAGTATTAAAACAAAGATTGTGTTTCTATCAAGATGTTTTATTACAGGTCATATGACCACTTAAAAATAAGTGCACTCTCTTTTCAGAGCATTATAATTCATTCTGTAAACTGACAAAGTTGTAGAGCAAGTATTATACTGTTGTACTATTGAGAAAATTGAAGTACAAGAAAGAGTTGATTTGGCTAAAGTCTCTTAGGGTGTCACTGGTGAAGCCTGGACTAGACCCATTTTAATTTAATGATTCATCCACTTGACTTGACCAGGGAAATATTGGATTATCTGTATGTTGTTACCATATTTTGCTTCTCCTAATGAACAGTCTTAAGTAGTAACCTTTTGGCTTTCTTTTGAGAATGTAGTTGCCTTAATTTAAATGGCTTTATGTCATATATGGCTGCATTTAAGTCATTTAAAAGACTCTTCTAGTAATATCGACAATATCATGTTAGGTCCCAAAGTTCATTCAGATCCTGTGGTTTTTAGAGTGTAAGAAACGTGTGAATCATATAATGTCTGTGTGTCAGAGGTCCTCAAGACCATTTTGATGTTCAGTGATTATTAGAGGACTCATAGGCCTTAGCATAGTCTGACTCCTATGGAAAGGATTTATTAGAGAAAAAGAATAGAAAGCAAAATCAGCACAGGGAAAAGGCCATGCAGCAAAGTCCAGAGGAAACCAAGTACAAGTATCCAAGAATCCTCTCCCATGAAAGTTACATTAGGCAAACTTAATTCCTCCAGAAATGAATGTGACAACACATGTGAAATGTTGCTACCAGGAAAGCTCATCTGAGACTAAGTGACAAGGATTTTCATTGAAGGCAGGTCACGTAGACAAATCTCTAGTTAGTACATACTAAAATTCCAGACTCGCAGAAGGAAAGCAGGTGTTCAGCATAAACAGTTATTAGGTACAGTGAACTCTTTGCAGTTAAGGAATGGTGGGAACCTTCCCTAATTCTGAATTCCCACATGTCATCCAAGGGCCAGGCTTGCAAGCATTCCTTTCTATGGAGAGCAATTTCAAATGAACTCTTTTTTGTTGTTGTTTATTTTTTTCTAGCTATATTGAGATATAATTGACAAAACATTACATAAGTTGAAGAGGTACAACATATTGGTTTGATACTACAAAATGGTTACCACTTTAGGGTTAGCTAACCCCTCCATCACATCACATAATTAATTACCATTTCTTTTTGTATTGAGAATATTTAAGATTTACCCTCTTAGTGATTCCAAGTATATAATATTGTGTTGTTATTATTATTATTTGAAATATATTTGACTCATTAACTCTTTCTGTACAGCATTATGTGATTATATGCCCTTCTAGGTATGTGTGGGTGTGTGAATATGGGGCAAAAAAGTCTTAAATTTAAACCCAAAGGCCATAGTTGAATATAGATTCATTTTGGGTCACTCTAATAATTTTTTGTCTGTGGAACTGTTTTTGAAAATTATTTAAAATCTGTTTTAGACTCTGGAATCACTTCATGGAATAAGAAATCATAACAGGCAACATATTTTTTGTGTTAGGTAGTCTTACTAAATATTTTACATGTCTTTTTATTTAATCCTTATATAACCCTGTGATGTGTAGGTACTCATTTTATAGATAAGAAATCTAAAATCATTTCCAAATTAACTGAAATGTTAAATAATACAGAATTGACTCTAGTATAGGTCAACATTAAAAAAATTAAAATGTTAACTTAAGAACATGTCTAATTATTTTTATCCATATTTTTTTCCTTGCCATGTATTGAATATAATTGAGAAGTAACAAATGTCGGTATATGGATAAGCAATGAAGGAGGAAATAATCGACTAAGTTCATTTCTGAAATACTTTGTAGTTTTTTAATTCTGTATTTTCTCTCTCCTGTTAGTATAAATAGAGAGGATTTTTGTTGGGGGAGGAATGCAAACAATATAAAGTTTATGTGGGGCAAGATGAGTAAGGCATATATGATACAAGATGCTTTAACACTTTTTTCCTTATAAAATTAAACGTTTTTTTTTTTCTTTTTTTTTCTTTTCCAAGTCTTTAGATGACCTTTCAAATGTATCTTCTGATGACTCAGTACAACTTCATGCTTACATTTCAGACACTGGTAAGAGACTTTGTGGTATAATTATTACTCAAAAATTATTAATTATTGTTACCCTTGGATTATTTTCCACATTTATAAACAATTTTTCTCATCTATAGTCATTTTTAAGTTACTTTTTTTTCTGCAGCATGTTTTTCATTAAATTCTGTTATTTTTATTTGTGTATATGGCTTGATACATACTCTTTATTGTGTTCAGTGATACTTTGTGTATATGTTATGATGTACTTGTGTATCTTCTTTCTCTAAGGTTGTTACTGTTAACATTTGAAAAACTTAAACTCTAAGCATTTTGTCATTGCTAATAAACTCTTGAAACCTAATCTTTTCTTCTTGTTTGCGTCTTGCTGATAATTATCTGCATAATTCTTATTAAATTGCTTGGGGCAGGTTTAGGTCTACCTTTTTTACACATGCAAAGTCAAACTAGGTAAGTGGGTTAATGAAATGTTGGTGTAGGAGTTCACAGAAGCTTAAGAAATGCTTGGATGAGGTAAGAAACCTCTAAAATTTTGTGACTCAGTCAGCATACATGCAAAATGTTTAGTCAAGTAAGAAAAAAATCAATTTCCATCATTGCCATTGGGTTATTAGATAATGCCATGAGTAGTAATTAATGATGGTTTACTTATCCTGCCTCTCACTATTACTAGATTATAGGAATGTGTCTGTCAGATTACATTTGGAATATTACCGTATTGAGGTATCTCAGGTCAGTTTCGTGCTTACATTTGAGGTAACTAAAAGGAGATTTTATAGTGGAAGTACAGTGTAAAAGATAATTTGCATTTTTTAAAAAGATCTCTGTTTTCTTTTGCTTCCCACTGGTGCTGGAGTCTCATTTTGCATTGTGTTCCCTGCCGTATTCTGAAATAAGTTATTTATAATTGCTGTCTAAGTTGTTTTTTTATTCTTTACAGTTAGTTGGTGCATACATTACTCTGCTTGTAAAGGTCATTAGATAGCAACTTTCTCAATAAAACCAGAGGTTTTGTTGCTTTTCTTTCTAGCTTTTGTTAAAGTTGTTTCACTTTTCCTTCATGAAATTTTAAAATTCTTTTTAAGAATCTCTCTTTTCTTTGTTGGTTTGTCTTCCAAACATTAAAAGTCTTTGTTAAACCGCAAATGTTTAATATTTGTCCTTACATTTCTTTCTTAAAGACCTTAAACTTTGTCTCAAGGAAGAAACTCATGTCCATATTTCTTACGTAGATCTTTCTTTTCTCCGATTTTTCTAGCTGCTTTGTCCATTGATTCAACAAATATTTATTACCTTGTTAAAATGTGTGAAAGCACTGTACTAAGCATTTTTAATAAATTATTATTTCTGTCAGACAAACTTACGTATAAATACTAAGAGGCAGCATAATAGGGTTTTAAGAGCATCACTTTTGTCCATTTCTGGGGGTTCAGACCCCAGCTCTGCCACTTAAGGTTGGGTGAACTTGGGCAAGTTCCTTAACTTTTCTGTACTTCAATTTCCTTATCCATAAAATGTAATAATAATATTTATCTCATAGGGTTGTCATGGGACTCATTAATTACATTAGTAATTACATATGAGTCGACATTATATATGTTTGTTCAATAAATAGTTTACCAGTTGGACTCCAGAGAGTCTAGATTTTATATTCTTAGCATCTTTATTACAGGGAGTAGAACTTAGAGTCTAGTGAAGGGCTTCTCAAGGAGTGGCCCTTGGACTAGTGCATACTGCTTCTGTTCTTTGTGAAATCTTGCTTTAAAAAATACTAGCTAAATTAAGCAATGTTCTTAGTAAAAGTTTGATTTATATTCGGGGCCTCTTCCTTATCCGAGTATGGATTAGTGACAAATAGTTTATATCACCTGCTATGAGTAACATAGCATAACATAGTCCTAATGAAAACAGAATATTTCCACAATAATATCTCACCATCACCTCATAATCAGTATATGCAACCTCATTATCTATTTTAAAAAATTACCTTTTTATCTTCTGCACAACCTCTTTATGCTTCCTGTTTTGTGTGTACCCTAGTCATGAGCTCTTCTGCCTATTGATTTGTGATAGATATAGCTGATAATTTTTTTTCAGAAAGCTTTCTTACATTCTTCCCCACATTTCTCTCTATTCTTCTTGTTCTTGTTAGCTTCTGATTGGTTATGATTTGCTGCCTAATTGGCTTCTGCTTTCTATTTTCTTTCTCCAAACCTTTCTTGAACCCAACAGATAAAACTATTCCCTTGTCACGCTAACTGTGTTGAGTGGCGGTGGTTCTCTAACATGATGAAAGGTTTATGCAGCGTGTTCTGCATCGGTCTCTGAGAGAAGGATGACTGGAAGAAGTGAATTGAACAGTGAATATTAAATAGTCTTACCTATAGTTACAGCCTCAGAGCCAGGTGACCAAAGTCTGTCCCTAGTGTTCTGTTTTGTCGAATCAGGCACACTGATATTAAACGGGAATGAAGGACAATTTTGAGTAGAAAGCACAAATTTTAAAATAATTTTGATGAAAGCTTCAAAGAGGCTTCTGTCTCAATTGCATTTGCCAGTATAGATTTTTAGCCTTTTTATTTTAGCTTTTATGTTACTAAAATAATTTACTAAGATTGCTATATGCAAACCCTTCTTTGCCTACTTATATACGAAACACAAAATATTTAGCTCCAGAACTTGGCCATTTTCCCTACCACAATTATGGATCAGTGTAATCTATTATTAGAAGAGCAATATATTGGGGCGCCTGGGTGGCTCAGTGGGTTTAAGCCTCTGCCTTCGGCTCAGGTTATGATCTCAGGGTCCTGGGATCGAGCCCGGCATCAGGCTCTCTGCTCAGTGGGGAGCCTGTTTCCCCACCTCTCTCTCTGCCTGCCTCTCTGCCTACTTTTGATTTCTGTCTGTCAGATAAATAAAATCTTAAACAAAACAAGACAAGAGAGAAGAGCAATTTATGCTTGTGGTCAGAATGGTAGTCTAAAATGTGCTATGGTAAACCCTGCCTTCCGCACATAGAAAGGGTGAAAACAGTAAAATAAAAACAGCTAAAGGGAGAAAGCTACAGTTGCCAGAACAAGAGGAAAAGTAAATTTAGGGAAGTGAAGTGGAGTTGAGGCCAAGGAGCTCACAGGAGCGTAAACACTGCTGTTTTGATTTTGATGGCATTTTCATGTCCCTCAAGTTCCGAAGAGGCAGTATGGACTAAGGCCATAGGAAGTTGGAACCCAGCCCCTCACATGAAACCCAGATTAACAAAGCGTATTTGATATGAAAGAGGAATGAGAAAAACAGCCTAGTGTCTGGGGAAAAAAGAAAGAATGTCAAGATCATGTCTGGAAAAGGTATCTGTCATCCACAAGAAATTGAAAGCCTATCTAGAGTCAGCCATCTTCAAGTGATTTGTACCACAGGGTCTCCTAGCCTGAGAGGATGCCAAAAGTAGTCATAGGATAAAACCTAAGGCAAGAATGCAACACTATGAAAAAAACCAAATGCAGTCATAGAAAAAAATACTGTGAAATTGAGGTCAGTGGTTAGATTAAGAAATAGACCAGATGTAGATGAGTTGGAGACTCAGTAAACTGCTAGAGACCTGAAGAAATGATCTAGAATAGAATACAACACTAGAAGGAGGTAAGAAAATGGAAAAAGAGAAAAGGAAATGAAAATTATTCAAAGTATATCTCTTTACTTAATACACAATGGGAACAGGTTTAGATTTTAAAGGCATTTTCCTATGGACTTGTCACACTTGAATGGTTTGTGACAAGTCCATAGGAAAATGCCTTAAAAAAATATCTCCAGGGGGTGCCTGGGTAGCTCAGTGGGTTAAAGCCTCTGCCTTTGGCGCAGGTCATGATCTCAGGGTCCTGGGATAGAGTCCCGCATCTGCTCAGCCTGACTCTCTGCCTACTTGTGATCTCTCTTTCTCTGTAGAATTTAAAAAAAAAAAAAAAAAAAAATCTCCAGAATGAATTACACTTGTAAGTTTTTGAATATTATAAACAATGAAGGGACTTGCCAAAAGACTACATAAAATCTTATTCCTTGGCTTTTGTTTTCTGTTTAGTTGAAGAGATTTTAATTGAAATTCAGCTGAATGGTGAAGGCTACTATGAAAGATTATTTTGTTTCTGTTACTTTTCCTCTATTTAAAGAATAATACATAGCTGGCAGTGCGGTATCGTAACTAAGAATAGGTACAAGCTCTTGAGGAAGAGAGTCTAAATTAGATATCACTGTGTGCTTGGTAGTGTCATCATAAACTTATGATGGAGTTATTGTGTATAAAATCTTATCAATGTGAGTACAGAGGATGGGAATCTATCCTTTGGTGACATCCTTTTGTCTCAGTCTGTCATTTCAAATTCTTCTTCATTTCATGTTCTTTTGTTTGTTTTTGTTCTTCATCTTCCTCCTTTTTGTGTGTTTTGTTCCTCTTCATTTTGTTTTAAATGACTAGTATATGCTGACTATGACCCATATGCTGTGGCAGGCGTTTGTAATGATCATGGCAAGACATATGCATTATATGCTATCACTGTACACCGACGCAATCTTAACAGTGAGGAGATGTGGAAAACCTATCGTCGTTATAGTGACTTTCATGACTTCCATATGAGGATCACTGAACAGGTAATGAGGTTTTTAAAGTTTGTGTGCTTTACATTGTTTCCTGATTTGATGTTTGATTCTAAATAGTTCTGAGGATACTGACCAAAACAAAAGAAAGGTAAGCATTTTTGTATAATCAGCATAATGCCAGAACTATTACGAGCATTTAACCAATAAATCAATCTTTAACCATTCCTAAACATTGTAGACCAGTGACAAAATATCAGTGGTCTACCTTGGAAAATTAAAATGAATGTATATTTCTGAGTGTGTGTGTGTGTGTGTGTTGTTCTGCCGATGTGTTTGGGTTTGGTTTAAAATAGGGAGGATCACTGTAGGGCACTTTGTGTTTTCAGCAATATAATTCAGAGCTCTAGTTATTATAAATGGCATCCTTATCCCCACAGTGTAACAGTTAATTCCTTGATCCATCAAGTTGTTTTATAAACCACAACCTAAATTAAGTTTAACATTAACCAAATAATGTTTTTAATTCTTACTAAATACAACCCTTTTGTTTTATAGAAGTATATAGACCCTTAAAGATAACATATGCAAACAAATTATTTTACTTTTTTATTAAATACTTTTTTTCTTTAACTTTGAAAATGTAGATCATCACCAGATGAATTGGAATATGTGATCTGTAAAATTTATTTTAACTTTTGAAAATCTTTTATTTCATTCAAGGTCTTTAAATATGCAACTGTATTAAACCAGTAAAAATAATAATAGTGACATTTGAATGGAAAAGCTCTGAAATGACATTATATTATTTGACTAATCAGAAAATATCTTTTTCAGTTAAGATAGTGGAAAAAATATGGTTGATACCATGATAATCTTATTGAAGTCTTCTGTGAATAGAGTGAGATAAACGATTAATGGCTTAAATGTGATTAAAAACAGATTAGTATTGGCTCCAGAAGCCCATATGAAAAAGTCTATTTTGAGGGCACCTGGATGGCTCAGTTGGTTAAGCAACTGCCTTTGGCTCAGGTCATGATCCCACAGTCCTGGGATTGAGGCTCACATCAGGCTCCCAGCTCCATGGGGAGTCTGCTTCTCCCTCTGACCTTCTCCCATCTCACGCTCTCTCTGTCTCTCTCTCTCTCTCTCTCAAATAAATAAAAAATAAAATCTTAAAAAAAAAAAAAAGGAAAAGACTTTTCTGAATTATATTCACAAGGAAATAAATAAGTTTGGACATGCCTGTTCTGTTTTTGTTGTTGAATAGATCAGCATGTTTTTTGATTTGTTTCTTCATGTTTAGCTTGATTTTTTGCAGAGGTGAAAGGATTTTCTGTGCTACATTGAAGAAATAACTGCTTGAATTTTTTAAATATTGCATGTTTTATATGCTAAAATCTCATAGCTTGTGTATCTTTCTCCCCATCCTCACACTTTAACCAAAAAAAGACAAATTTTAAGATAATTTGAATTGCTAAGAAGTAGTTTTATTTACTTCCAAATCAATGGAAAGTTGGTATAATGTGAAATTGTCTAGGAAAGTAAATACCATGTTTACATATTGACAAATATAAGTGAAGAACGTACCTTAAAAAATACTTTATTAATAGAAGAGTCAGAGAGAGATTTTGTTTTGAATATAGCATCAAAAATTAAATGAAATTAATAAAGTGAATTCATTTTTGAGAGGGCTCAGTACAGGCAAAGTGCTTTTGACTTTGTGTTTCCTATCAAGTTCTGTAGCTTGTGATTACTTAAGTGTTTAGATTGCTCACAGAGCTTATGAATTTAAAGAAGAAAAGTTTGTGAGTGAAAATGTAGCTTTAAGCAAAATACTAAGTAAGCATTTGTAAATAAGACTCAGGCTGTTTGCCTTTTAGCTCTGCTTTACCTGTATTTTAAAATTTAGATCTTATAAAATAGCAGAAGAAAAATGCAGTGACTCAATAGTAATGCATTGGTTGGTAATAGTACAACTGTTGGCACAAGTGAATTTTACCTCCATAGAGCTCTTGAAGTGTTAACATTTTTTAAAAACAGGTTTTGTTTATTTAACTTTGTTATGTAAACTTTTTCCAGTCTAAATATATGAAATCATTTCTACTCTTTAAAGATTTTTTAGCATTTGATATTTTATGGATAAAGATTTATAAAATTGAAAGAAAATAATTAAAAAATTAAATGCGACATTATTTTAGAAATCACCTGAACTACGCATTTATTTAACAGATACGTATGAAGTTTTTTCTGTGGCTTGGTACTGTTCTCATGCTGGGGATATAACAGTGAATAGGACAGACCCAAGTCCTTGCCTCCAGGAGCTTACATTCTGGTAGACACTGTATATTACTGTTATATTGGGTCAATTGTATATTAGCACTGATAAAATAGTAGTGATTTAGAAAATATAAAGTATGTGTTAAGGTAACTGAGTAAAAGTATTTATGTGCCTGGCTCTAAACCAATTTTGAATCCTTCTAACATAAAATTTCAGGCATGCCTTTTGAATTTTCCAGTAGTGCATTAGGAATCTAAACCTGACATATTCAGTGTAGAAAGATAAAATCTTTGAGTTTGGAATGTCTATGATTTATATATAATATTTGAGTTATTTGTGAACATGAAATACTCTTTGCTTTAATTTATCTGAGTTCTTATGTTCAGGCAAATTTCTAATTTTTTTTTACATGCTTTTAAAAATTTCTGGAGCTTTTGGCAGAGGAAATTATATTATCCTTTCAGGGAATAGGCTATCTTTTACTTGTACTTATAAAATCTTTAAAATACCAAACTTGTAATGAGTTTAATATAGAGTATAAATTTCACCATTTTTTCCTTTCATAATAACAGTATTTGAGAAAACTGTTAGTCATTTATGCTTCTGTTCTAGATAATTTTAAAAGGAGTTTGATAATCTAGGCTGTAAGAAAATAACTTTTTTGGCACTTAAATTTTTTTTTTTGACACTTAAATTTTTTAAATTAACAAGGTTTAATATTTTAAAGTTTCTGAAATAAATTGTTGGTTTTATTACAAACTGCTATTTTCCTTTGATGTATTAATTTGCTAGGGCTACCATAACAAAATATCACAGACTAAGTGGCTTAAAGAATAAAAATAATTTTCTTTCAGTTCAGGAACATTTAAGTCCAAGATCAAGGTATTGGTGAATTTGGTTCCTCCTGAGCCATCTCTGCTTAGCTTTCCCTGTGGACACCCTTCTCTCTTTGGCTTCACATGGCCTTTTCTTTGTGTGCTCACATCCTTGGGTGTCTCTTTGTGTGTTCAGATTTCCTCCTCTTATAAGGACACCAGTCAGATTAGATAAGGGCCCACCCTGGGGGCTTTTGTTTTAATTAATCCCCTCTCTAAAGGATATATCTGCAAATACTTCCACATTCTGAAGTACTAGAGATTAAGGATTCAACATATGATGTTGGAGCAATACCTTTCTGATGTTGGAGCAATACCTTTCAGTCCATGACATCTTTGTATTAGCAGAATAAAGTATGTATTCTGTAAAGTTAAGTCAGGAGTTTAAGATGATGTAGAAAAGTAATATTCCAACAAATTAAATACCTTGAAAAAATTAATTTATTTCCATAAGGTATGATTCTTTTTTAATTAATTCATAAAACCAGGAACTCTCCACTGGACATTTGATATTCAATGAAGGCCCATTCTAATACTTTTGTGAGCAACCAAATTTGTGAGTATCGCTGCAGCATAACATTTTCCCTGTAAATTGCAACTATCCTTTTTTGTTTTTCTTGCCTTTGCTGAGGCAAAAGAACTGCCTTTACCTTTCATGTATAACATACATTGAATTTATTCACATTACAGCTCCAGGCAACCATTGGATTTGCTATTCTGTTTAATAATTTTACAGAATCTTCCAGTTTGGAGATGAAAATTAACCTACGCCTTTTCATTCATTTCCTCTTTAATTTGTGCACCGGGAATGAGTTTTCTTTACAGAGCCATTATTGTTGATGTTTTTAAACACAGGATGGTTTTAGAAAGCTTGTTTCAGTTTAGGATGTGTATCACATGGGAAAAACAGGAAGGCTGCTTGAAGTTTCAGTTACTAGGCTTTCCGCCGCCAGCTACAGTCACTAGCTAAATGACTTGGGTCTCATGCTGTGTTAGTAGCTGGTGTAGTTAAAATCTGTGTTTTAGCAGGGTACAGCACATTACTATATATGTGGACCTCTGAAGGTGCATCCAAATGTTAAGTCTATAAATACTAGACTTAGAGCATGTAGACTTACTTGGTGTTTGTGGCCTTACAAGGATGCAAAATATACTAATGGCTTTTAGGGTTTTTTCCCTTAATAATCTCTGAGTTTATTTTTCTTATGTTTGGTGGGGGAAGAAGTGTCAATGTTGTACTATATTGTTTATATGCAGAGTTGTAATAAAACTGTAATCTCTATTTTGAAATTTGCTTTTTCTGTTTTTAATAATTAGCTGTTACAATGATTATTGACAGTCATCAATATTAAAAAAGATTTCCTTTTTAGATTTCTTAAGCCAGGAACTCATGGGCCTTTGATCATTAAAAATATATTTGCTAATACTTTATTCACAAGTCAAAGTGTTAAGGAAAATATTTTAAAGCCTTTTACTGTTGATAAGTTTGAACAAAATTAAGAGTATTAAAATGAAACCCCATGTGGACATCATCCCTGTTTATCAGTTATACATGTTTGTCATTCTTGATTGAAAACACTCCTTTATAAATAAACAGCATTAGAACTGTGTTTGGAAATACTTTCTGATTTTTGCTTAATATAATAAAATATACTACAAAATAATCTAGTAACAATGCTTTTGATATATAGAGGAATTATTTCTTGGAAAATGCTTTTCTATTTTTGTAAAAAACTAAAATTATTGAATGTATTTTATCTTCTAGTTTGAAAATTTATCAAACATATTGAAGCTTCCTGGTAAAAAGACTTTTAATAATATGGATAGAGATTTTTTAGAAAAAAGAAAAAAGGATTTAAATGCATATTTGCAGGTAAATCCATGTTTGTTATTACCCATAGATTTTCATTTTAATATATCATACAGATATAGTAGATTTCTTTATTAAAGAATGTTTTAATATAATAGTGGGATAGTAACCATACTTCGTTAGCATGTCACATCTATTCAGTAATTTATCAGTATTCTCTGTTTATTGACTAACTTAAAGGGACACTGAGTGCTAGGGATTTTGTCACTTTAGGTTTAGATGAAAACACACACACAGGTACACATATCACAGGTACACATATCTCTTCCACATCACATAAAGTCTAGGTGTTTTATGGTACACTAAACAGATAAATGTTTCCCAATTCAGTAGGTAGTAGCTCTTCACGGTGTATCCAAAGCTAGTAGATTTTCATTCCTGATAAAGGCCTCCTATAGGCCACAATGAGTCTAAGACTTCTAAAATTACAGGATAATTCAAAAGAAGAATAGATCCAAGGGACTATTTCTTACACGTAGTATCCTAGGTATGTAGATTTCTGCTGTGGAATAACAAAACTTGACCCACAAGTTAATTATTCCAGGAAAAACTTTGTTTTAGACCGGCGTACCCAGATGCCAGATATAATAATAATATCAGTTCATAGTTTTTTATACTAATGAATGATTTGTAAAGGTTTTTCATCTCATAGACCTGGCTTTAGCCCAGGTATATAATGTTCCATTATTTAGCCCCCCACCCCCACTCTACCCTCTAGAATAGGGGTCAGCAAATTGCAGAGTGCAGACCAAATTTAGTTCACCATATGTTTTATTGAGTTTTGGAACACAGCCATCCATTTAGTTTATTAGTACCTAGTATAGCTTTTACATTTTGCTACAGCACAGTTGAGTAGTTTCAGCAAAGACTCAGTGGACTACAAAACTTTAAGAGTTAGGATGTGAATTAACATAACAGTTGAGTGGATCTTCATAAGCTATAAAACCTGAAAATGGACTACAGTAGTCTTCCCCTTATCTTTGGTTTTGCTTTCTGTGGTTTTACTTACCCACAGTCAGCCATGGCCATGGTCCAGAAGCAAATGATTGTCCTTCTGATAAATTGTCAGGTCAGTAGTAGTCTGTTGCTGTGTCACAATGCATATGTCATTCACCTCACCTCATCTAATTACGTAGGCATTTTATCATCTGTTATCACAAGAAGGGTGAATACAGAACAGTAAGATATTTTGAGAGAGAGAACACATTCACAGTATATTGCATGTACTTTTATTATAGCATATTGTTATAATTGTTCTATTGTTATTGTTGTTAATCCCTTACATCCCTAATTTATAAATTAAACTTCAGCACAGGTATGTATGTATATAAGAAAAACCAGTATAGGTAGTGTTCTATACTATCTTTGGTTTCAGGAATCCATTGGGGAGGGGGTTGGAATATATCCCCCCAGAAAGGGGACTACTGTAGCAAAAACATTTGGACAACTGTCACATTAGATGCACTCAAAGTCAGAAAAGCAGCTGGGAAAAATACACACCAAACTGTTAATGGTTGTAGAATTATTGATGACTTTATTTATAAACTGTGTAATTGGTTTTTTTAAATATAAAATTAAAATTCTGTACATGCTTAATTTTCTAGCAGATAAAATTACAGATGGGAGTGAATTTCCAATACCATATCTATGTAAGGTATCTTTTTTTTCCCCCCATTAGTTACTTTTAACTCCTGAAATGATGAAAGCATCACCAGCTTTGGCTCACTATGTGTATGATTTCCTTGAGAACAAAGCCTACAGTAAAGGAAAAGGAGATTTTGCTCGCAAGGTAAGCAGACCATTGCATTGGTTTTCTTTATAGGTCTGTTTTCGTACATTTTTTGGGAAAGATTTTACTTACTTGAGAGTGAGAATGTGTATGAGAGAGAGAATAGAGGAAGAGGGAGAAGCAGACTGCCTACTGAACAGGGAGCCTGACATGGTACTCCATCCCAGGACCCCAAGATTATGACTTGAGCCAAAGGCAGCTACTTGACTGACTAAGCCACCCAGATGCCCCTTCAGACATTTTTTTAAATAAAAGAAAATAAATTTATATTTGTATGTTTTAAAACCAGAAAAGTTTATTAAATGCTTCTTGGCTTGTTTCTCTTCTATAGTTTATTAAGTCTAGTATTGATAGGCATATCCAAAAAGTATAAACTCCTACTATTTTTACGTGTAGATTAAAATCTAACAGGAGCTTAAAAGAAAGGAAAAAGAATTTTTGAAATAATGCAGTGAGGAAGATTTGCCTAAGATAGGTCACAAGCTTTCCAATAACTTGAGAAGGAGCTATTTCTTACTGGGAGGAAAGGTCTTTTACTTGAAGTGTGGATAAGAAAAATGTTAAATAGATTATGTTCCTGAAAGTATTTATGCCCCTTGAGTGAAATCTTTGTTATTTAAAAATTTCTTTAGGGATATAGGTCGTAAACTTGGAATTAGATGGTAGATTAAGAAAATAAAGGACAGAGTGCTCAAATTGGACAGGATAGTTTAATGAGTGAGAACACAGACTTTGGAATTAGTCTTTGGTTTAAATCCGCTCTGCCATTTACTAGGTGTGACCTGCAACATGTTACTTCATCTTTTGGTCCTTTAGTTTTCCCAAGAAATGAAGATATTAATCCTCATTTTACAGCATTGTACAAATTAAATGTCGTAGTCCATGTATGACAGCACCTGGTACTTCCATTAACTCAGAATAAATGTTGCCTCTTAGTAGTAGTGGCAGTAATAGCAGGAGCAGTAACAGCAGTTGGGAGGGCTGGGTGGATAGTGTGTAGGAACTCTATATATTTTTGTAACTTTTCAAAAGTCTAAGATTATTTCAAAATGAAAATTAAGTACAAAAAGTGACTTCCCTGCCACTCCCCTGCAAAAAGACTAATTAAAAAAAAGATTAAGGAATTGGTATAAAATAAGTAAGGATTAATTTACTGGTACAGAGTAAGAATGAACTAAACATAAGAGCTTTGTATGATTACTCTAAGGGTTTAGGTTTTAACATCCAAGTTAACATGTTTAGGTGGAGGGTTTTAATAACAAGTTCCATATTATGTGCCTCATAACGGTGGGGGGACAGTGTGGTGGTATTTTCTTTGTATTCCATGATTGAAATGATTGAGCTTAAATTTCAACTCTAAATGGTTTATCAATAGAGATGCCTTCTAGTGTTCCGTCTTTTTGATATTTACTTTGTGTTCTCGCAAGATTTTATCAATTTTAAGATAAACTAATAAATCAGTAACAACTTTTTTGAGGTAAATGTACTTCGAATGTAGTTTCTTTTTGTCAACTATAGTAGTTGTGTGTGTGTAAAGTACATATATGCCTTATGTATCCAAACAGTTGTATATTGCTTTTTAAAAATACTACCACTGGAATCTAAATTTCCTTCTGAATCTTTCTGGATGTGCATAATAACATATGTTTTTAATAAATCATATTGGTTATTACCAAGGTCATCTTCACCTCTTTTAGATTGGCAAGATAACTTCTATGCACATCAAGAATTTTCAGCTACATTTCCTTTTTGGCTAAATTATAATTTAATATTTTTTCTTAATTATGTTTCACTGGATATTAAATAGGTATTAGAGAAATCATCTGCAAACATTTTATCAGTGGCTATCAGAGCTTGAGAAATAATACTTTATAATATAATATATTAACCTGGTCACATGATTTGTCTAGCCTTTCAAAATATGTGGGCAATTCCTGGGAAGAGTTACTAACAAACAGTCTTCCTTTATTCACAATTTCTTTCTATCCAATTTTATATCATGATGTGAGGCATTTTTTTAAGCTATACTTAGGACCTAAATTTAAGTTAAAATTACTTTGTGTTATTACTGATACACATAATTAAAGTGATGATGAGGGGAAAACATCTTTGGTAAGTCAGGGCAAGTTTACACTTATGCTGGTGATCCATAATTCATTCCTCTGCTTGGTAATTTTACAAATTTTTGTTTGTTTTAAACACATGTTTTTTTTTTTTAAGTTTTTTTTTTTTTTTAAGATTTTTATTTATTTATTTGTCAGAGAGAGAGGAGCGAGAGTGAGCACAGGCAGACAGAGTGGCAGGCCGAGGCAGAGGGAGAAGCAGGCTCCCTGCCAAGCAAGGAGCCCGATGTGGGACTCGATCCCAGGATGCCGGGATCATGACCCGAGCTGAAGGCAGCTGCTTAACCAACTGAGCCACCCAGGCATCCCTGTTTTAAGCACATGTTTTAAGAAAAATCTTGTTTATGGAAATCTTGTCATATAGTTATGGACTCTGTTTTTATGCTTCTGAAATTCTCCTTTTTTTAGGATTAGGCAGCAGAATCACCTGTGGAGGTTTTTTCATCCCTCTAGTTCACCCATTCCCTGTCCCTAGTACATATGCTTGGGCTTTACCCTCAGAAATGGAAAAGCAAACAAAAAACAAGAAGGAAAAGGAAAAGAAACGGATTCTAGGGTCTAGGATAGTGCACAGGCAACTATTTATAATTATTAACCAATTAATGATACAGATTAGGTTCTGTTATTTTAAAAGATCAGTGGTAGTTTAGCCCCATGTCTGTTTTGAGGCTACACACACACACACACACACACACACACACACGTAATTTTACACACAAGTGCACATGCACACACGGAGATAGCTTCATCTTTTTAACCTTTTTATCTCCTTCATCTTTTTAACCTTTTTATCTCCGTATCTGTACCAGTGGCAGTTTTTCAGACCCTTCATCATCCTTGTTTTTGTCCTTTGGATCTCCTTTGAATTCTTCTGTTGTGACAATGTCCCTTCTAAATGTTGCATATTCCATCAAGGATACCTAGAGCACTATTGACTCAGCTTAATCAAAGAGTAACTAAAACTCCCAGTTATTTTACAGCTATCTTCAAATTCACTTGTTTTTTATTATAGTACTTATTTAACCTTATTTCTAGTTTTTGTAAATGGAAACCATTTAACCATATTAGAGTGAAGTTTTATCTTCTTGCTACCATCTCTTAACATTATGTTATGTTTCTGAAGTAGTGGAGTTCAGTTTCTTTTACTTTTTTGTTGTTGTTGTTTTTGGGCAGGGAACATAATTTGTTTCTGCATTAGTTCTTATGAGACTCATACTTTCTGGAAAATATTCTTGTAGTTTTTTATGACTTTGATTTTGTGTTCCTTTTTTTCTTTGTTTCTGTCTATTAAAATTCTCAGAGTTCCATATGCAGACTATTTTGATTTATAGATGTTTCTCCCTTTCTTAATTGAAATTATCTGACATTTGTGCAGTCAGAATGTCAAATTTAATGCTTCCTATCCCTCTGGAGATTATTCCTTTTTATATTTCTGATCATATTTCTTTTTATAGTTTTTCTGTTCTTACTAAAGGATTCCACAGTCCTTCTGTAGATTCTGAGCATGTAATGTAAGCAAAAAGTTATGTAAAACAATAAGTTTTAGTTACTTGTTAGTTACTTGAGATTTCTGCTTATTTTATCTGCTTGTTTATTTTTCAGTGTCTTCTCAAAATACTTATGTTATTATTGCCTTGAATTGTAGCAGAAGTATGTTACGGCTAATTCCATTTGCACCAATTTATGTTTTAGAAAATGTTTTGTTTTTTAAATCTTATTTATTTATTTAGCTTATTTCTTCAGTAAGGCAGGCAAACCTTATAATTGCTAGCAGTGTATTTTATATTTTTATATAAGCTAAAGGTTATATTTTCTAGCAATAGCCTTATTAACTCAGTTTTTTAATCATCCGTTTATGTGTGAAAATACAATTTTAAGACAATACATTTTGAAAACTGTAGTTGTGTACTTTCAAAATGCAATGAGGTATTATAGACTAGAAAATTACTTCATTTTTCATGTGTGTTGCACTCTGTATTTTCCCAGGCTTCTCAGTTAAATAACAGGTCTGATACATTGAAGTCATGGTGTAATATCTTTTCCCCTTAGATGGACACTTTTGTAAATCCACTTCGAAATTCTATGAGGAATGTTTCAAATGCAGTTAAATCCCTTCCTGATAGCTTGGCAGAGGGAATGACTAAAATGTCAGACAACATGGGCAAAATGTCAGAAAGATTAGGTCAAGACATAAAGCAATCATTTTTCAAGGTAAGAAGATGTTTTCAGTAATATCTACAGCAAACTATTTTTAAGTCAACGAAGATTTACTGAGCTTCTGCTTAGATTTATCTTACTTCTTTTTAGAAGTCCAAAGCTCTCTAGACACAGTCTTATAAAGAATAAAAAAACTAAAGAGAATGAATTCTTAACAGAAATGGATCCTGTAAAATTGAGTCACTTCTCAGGCTTTGCTGTGGTAGAATTTTGAAAGCCAGTTAACATAACAAACATCCTTTGTACTGTTATATTCTGTTACGCCATTTTTATTTTATCATGCCACTTAATTTTAAAACAAAAGCAAGTGCTGTTGGGCAAATTTGCTATACTAGTATTCATCAGGAAACATAAAAACTATTACCTCCTGCTTCACCTGACCAAGTGGCTAGGAGATCAAAGGGAGGAAAAGTCACAGTCATCCGCCTCTCGGGCCATCCTTTACTTGGATACACAAGTGAGTGATATAGAAGAGTTTTCATAGGAAACTTTTTCATTACATTGGCAAATACAGGTAGCAGACCAAGTAGTTTGTTACTTTCTGATTTATACTTTTTATAATTTTGACCTACTTGTTTAAAATTATAATCAAGACTATAAAAGAAAACCTGTACTGTTAGAGTTTTCTATGTTAGGTCATGTTTGAAGAGGAAATGTAATATGTGTGTGTGTGTGTATATATATATATTGAATATAAGTTACATATATAACATAATATAAATATATAAAAATACACACACACAGAATTTCCATAAGAGACAACTCCTAAAATAATGTGTGTATAATCCATACTTCTCTACTTATTCTCATTCTTTCTCTGATGCTTTATCTTTGATTCTAATCAGGGGGAGTACATTAACACTGAAAGTGAGGATTTTGCAATATGCCAGTTCTGCCGATAATCATTCATATGTCTTTGTACAGAAGCCGCTGAGCTTTTCCCGGTTCCTTTTTCCTTAACAGCAACATGACGGGGTTATAATAGGTGATCTTGATGGTCGCTGCTGTGCTTTCATATGATTATCAGCTAACACTGGTCTCTCCATTTTCCTCATAACTTACATTATCTAAAACAGGTTAATTAGTATCTCAAGTCTATTAACTTACTGTCAAGCTCCTTATGGTAAAATAAAGAAGATTGGAATTCTGTTCTCTGGCTGTGCTACTATCTTTTGGTTTTTAAATCATTTAACTTTTCTTAGATTTAAGTTCTTCTAAAAAGTATAGGGGTTTGACTAATCTCCCCTTCCAACTCAAAAGTCCATTGTTTTTTAAGGAAAAAAATCTTTTGGTAATGAGGTAATCACACTTTAACATTGGGTTTCTAATTGTAGATTGTTAATACTTTTTAATACTATATAAACTTTGTGTCATTCTAAACATCAAATTAAATGCTATCATTATGCTTTTTATTCATTTTGATTTATTATTATATTGTGTTCTTTCACTGTCTGCTATAGTGTGTTTATTTTGTTCTGTTTTTTGTTTTTTTTTTTAAATGTTAGGTGCCTCCTTTAATTCCGAAGACTGACTCAGATCCTGAACATTGTCGGGTCTCAGCTCAGCTTGACGATACTGTGAGTTAATTTTGTTTTTGGTAGTATTCAACTGTAATTGAAATCATACTTGGTAGAGCTTTTTAACTGTTTAATGAAGTATAATATGTATACCTATTATTATATACCTATGTGTATATATGTGTTAAGTTTGATGAATTCTTACAAAGTGTCCATGTAATCAGCACTCGTAGCAAGAAACAGAATGTAACCAATACCCCAGAAAGCCCCTAATGCTCTCTTCCTGTCACTATCCTCTCCCCCACCAAGGATAATCACTATCCTGACTTCTACCCTGCTTTTATACTTTATATAAATCAAACTGTAAGGTATGTATTCCTTTAAATCTGGCTTTTTTTTTTTTTTTTTTTGCTGAACATTGTGATATTTTTCCATGTTGTTTTGTGTGATTGTAGTTTCTTCATTCTTGTGGACTTACAGTATTCTGTTTTGTAAATATAGTATAATTTATTAGTTTTAATATGAATAGTACTGTGATTCTGGTACATGTCTTTTGATTAAAAAACTAAGTATACGTTTCTGTTGGGTCTGTACCCAGGAATGGAATTTCTTGGTTAGAAGGTATTCTTCATAAATTCAGTTTTAAGAGATACTATCAAATAGTTTTCCAAAGTGTTTGTGCTGCTTACACTGCTGCCAGCAATGCATGAGAATTTCAATGCTCCATAGCCTGCCAATAGTTAATATGTTATGTCTTTTAAATTTTAGCCAGTCTGGTTGTATCTCATGTGGATTTCCTTTTCTCTGATGACTGTGGAAATGTTGAACCTCTTTGCATATGTTTGTCGGCCATTGGGTGTCTTGTCTTGTGTCTCTAGCTCTTTCCTCTATTTTTCTGTTGGCTTGGCTGTCTTTGTCTTTTTTAATTAACAAGAGTGCTTTTATATAATCTGAATAGTGGTTCTTTGTCAGATAAAAGTATTTGTGCATTGTGAATATCTTCTAGTTGGTGTGCTTTTGTGCAAAGTATATATATAATCTGTGCCTACTACAAGGTCACAAAGATCACCTGTGATTTTCTTTAAAAATCTTTTTTATCTTGCCAAAATTTGGATTTTCCATTCATCTAGGATTGATTTTTGTGTATGGAGTGAAGGCAGTTGACCCAAGTACCATTTACTGAGAAGGCCCCCTTTTCCCGAGTGTACTGTTTTTCCCTTGTCACAAATTAGATTATCATATTTGGGTCTGGGCTTTGTATACTGTTCCATTAGGCAGGTTTTTTAAAGTTATAATTATCTCCCTTCAGTTTTTCATTGACTTTCTTATAATAAACTATTAAATAAAAATAATATTTTATTTCCTTTTTAAGGAATATTTTAGAATGTTTTATTATGAGTTATGCTGGTATAACATCCATAACATCATAATTATCGTGTTACACCAAACTAATGAATATACTTGGTCATAAAATTGAGCAGTATTTATTTTGCCTCTGGAGGGAACTTGATCTCTGCCCTGCCGTGCCAGACTCCTCACCAACCCCAGCCACTCCTTGTTTGGTTTAGGTGTGAGTTTTCAATATGTGAAAGGGAAGGTACACTAAGAAAATCAGTTTACAGTATGACAATGAAAAATAAAGAACTCAGGCTGTTTTCTCAAGATTTAAATTACAACATGGATGAAGAAATGATTGGAAAGAATAGCTTATTGATGAAAGAATTATAAAATTACTGGCAATTATATGCAGTTTTATTGTATTTCTAAATCTGTTTTGCTTTATATATATATTTTTTTTACATCAAAGCTTTCTAGTTGTCTTTTTTTGTCATCTTTTATCTTATTTTTTATATTATTAATTGAATATTCCCTTATAAAAGTGTACACATTTTTACTTGTTAAAAGTTAAAGGAAAATTTTAAAAGTATAGTGAAATATCCCCTTTGTAATAACTTAGCTATATACTGGATTTTATTTTAGCTTCTTTTTTTTCTGAAAATACCTGAGTATGTACAATGCAGTAACCAAGCAAAACATGTTATTCTGTGTAGATTGTGTTTTGTTCTATTAAGTAAGGAGAAATGTTGAGAATATTTTGTTCTTTTCAAAAAAGATGCTCCAGAAAATCAGCAAAGGGGGCCAGCATTTGCCTTATCAAAGCAGTACAGACTCTACTAAAAGTAAAAGAGCCAAATTATTTTTTCCTAAAACATCATAGATCCAGTTTGAGAAGTTTTTTCACTACTACTTTGGAACTGTGTGGGTTGTGAAATTCTGCGTTCTTGCAGAATGACTGTTAAAAACATATGTTTTTAAAATTAGAATGGAATGTTAGGTTATGAAGACTATAGTATAATTTGTTCTCTGATCTCTGAAATTGAGTACCAATCATTTTGTGAAAGCCACTCATAGTAGATAAATAACTCAAATGTAATTTCATTTCTTTCCATACTTTTTCAGGTGGATGACAATATTCCACTTAGGGTAATGCTGCTTCTTATGGATGAAGTATTCGACTTAAAAGAGAGAAATCAGTGGTTGCGAAGGAATATCAAAAACCTACTTCAACAGCTTATTAGAGCCACATATGGTGATACTATTAATAGGTACCAATTCTTTTTTCATCCCTTAGAGCTGTTCTTGCTTAGCTTTTAAACGTTTCTTTCTAGAAGTAGATTGTTCAACTTTTATAGGAGAATTTTCTTCTCTGGGCCTTTTAAGATCATTAAAACAGTCTGTTGCTTTTATAGAAAATTTGCATACAGATTAAGTTCCTTCATGAAAGGAGTGCTTATTTTACACACCTTCTAAAATTTTGATCCTACTTATTTAAATTTCTTTACTTTCAGAAAAATAGTTGACCATGTTGATTGGATGACCTCACCTGAGCAAGTAGCCGACTTAGTGAAACGTTTCAGGTATATCTTAAGACACAGTCACTTCTTTCAGGTAGTACAGAGTTTAGCATTGTTATCATTAATTAACCTTGACTGCTTTTCTTTTCCTCCTGACCATAAAGTTGGTTTGAATCATCGTTGATGAGCAAAAAGACCTGTAAGAATTACAAAAAACATTTGTTCCATGGACGTTTTGATCTTTTTTTCTTTAAAACCAGAATAGAAAAGTATAAAAGTATAATCTTTAAGATGTTGTTTACATTTTACTACAGTAATGTGGCTTTAAAGTTATTGAAATCCTTGATTTTAAATGAAAATTAAATATGTCTCTGCCTATGGACTAATTATTATAACTGTTTGAACCTCTGAAAAGAATACAAATTAAGAGCAGTGATACTCCAATTCATATGTTCATCCTACAAAAATATTCTGAACTCCTTCTCTGTGTATAGTATTTTGCCAATCACCAGAGACTGAGATAAAATGCAGTCCCTTCAAGGAAAGCACAGCATAGTCAAGAAATAAACCTCTTTTCTAAAAGTGAAAGATAAGCAAGGCTTAAATATTCATGGCATCATGTACTTTGAAGTAACGGAAGCAAGAAAGGAGCTATTGATATTGAACATTATTTGCTTGGCACTGTGCCAACTACTTTATGCATACTTTCTGATCTTACCCTATTTTATAAGATAGGGATTGGTCTCCATTTTGTTATGTGGAAACTGAGGATTGAGAAGTTGAGTGGCTTGTCCAACAAAACCTCACATGCTGGAAAGTGAGGAACAACAGTTTTCTCTAATCTGAAGCTGAGTTTCTCTCCATTATGCAGTACGATTGCCAAAAGTCAGACCACCTGTCCTGGCATGTACATTCTATTTCAGGGCCAGTGAATGATGTTTGGTTTACTGTGGAGTAGTGATTCTCAGTCTTGGCTGCATGTTGGAATCACTTGGGGAGCTTTAAAAAGTACTGATGCTTGGGTCCCATCCCAACAGTCTGACTTAATCAGTAGAAGGCCTGAACATGAAGATTTTTTAAAACTCCTAGGTTTTTCTAATGTTCAGTCAAAGTTAAGAACAACTGCTCTGGGAAGTCTCTCTCCCTCAGACCAAATCCCCAGGTGGAACCTTAGTGTGTTCTGTTCTTGCCTTTGACCTGTGAATTGGAGAACTGGAATCAAGCAAGCTGTGCGAGTGAAGGAGAATAGGATATATATGTGAGAGGAATGTTGTAATCAGTCTAATTGGAAGTTGCGGGTGCAGGATTTGTTTTGTATTGGCTTAATTATAAGGGAACCGAGGAAGATTAACTCTAAGATATCCAAATTCAGGATATTATGGGATTGTATTTGGATCAGATGTTCAATCTCATTGAGATCAGAGGCATACTTGAGTTTAAATGGCTGTGATGTAATCATCTATATATGCCATTTTGCTATCTTGTTCATTTGTTAGTGTTTGTAAGGTATTCCAGGGCAGAATTCATCTGTTACTTTTATTATGTATATCCTTTCATACCTAAAATTGAATCCTGCTCTTAGTTACTCTGTGGAATGTCATACCTCTATAAAATTTCAGAAATGTTTCCGCTTTCTATTTACATTTGTGTTTTCTATAGAAAATTGGAACAATTTTACTGACTTACATCATTAGAAAATGTAAATTTTTACAAAATTTATTTAATTTTCTTAAATAGAGATGCCTTTTGGCCAAATGGCATTTTAGCAGAGACTGTTCCATGCAGAGATAAAGCTATTCGAATGAGAACAAGAGTTGCAGGAAAAACTAAATTACTTTCCATTATGCCAGGTGAGTGAACAGGTTTGGTAAAAATCTTATTACTTTGTAGTTCTTCAGAATTTTTGGCATTGAGCATGCTGGTTTAGCTGCTACTGATTTTAGTAATTACCATTTAATGGCTTACCATGTATCAGGCATTGTTGCTATGCATTTCTCATCTCATAACAGTATTAAGAACTTACGCGCTGTTAACATGACAGCTTTGTATGTGAGCAAATAGAAGCTCAAAGAGGTTAAGTAAGCTACCCCAAGTTTCAAGCTAGGAAGTGACTGTTGGGCTTCTGCTCCATGCTGAGCTACTTGAAAGCCACTGCTTTCAATCATGAAAAGAAAGTGGTGCTTTTAACCACTTCATTTGCTACCTTGAACCATTTTGAGAATAAAGTTGATGATAAAATATGTGACAGAAGAATAAAAGAACAAGGAAGTGTCAGGTTTTTAGGAAGTATATTTGTTCTACTTCAGAGAACATACTCTTTCAAAGAATCCCTTTATGTAGAAACAACTAATTGGTCCATTATTAATCTCAATTGAGACATGATTCCAAAGAAAATACACTTAGATGGCATTCTTTTGGTCTAATTTGAATTATTTCTTGAGAAGACTGCTATCTTAGACTCACTTTGTGTCCCCCTTTCAACTTCTCTCAATAAGAGATCCTCTATAATATGAAAAGCAATTTTGTGTGACTGGGTAGTTTTTTGGTCCCTTCTTTAGTTATGAATATCTTTGAAAATACTTAGATATCTCTTTTCCACATTTTAATTATGAATATATAGTAGAAAAGGAATATTTAGGAAGTTCGTTAATGTCATTTAGTATCTATTTCTTTTCCTATAATTTTTTCTTAGAACTCTATTTTCCTCATAGATTTTAAAATCTCTCTTCTCTCAGTTAAGTTGGGAATTTGCCACATGGCTATCAGTTCTGTCCTACAGACTATACTACTGCATTTGGTGAAAAAAATCATAGAAATATCATTTTAGAAAAATAAAAACAAATGACAACTTAAGATTAAGTATTATTTAATATACTGTTAGCATAAACCAGATGGTGCTGTAGACTGATTTACATAGCTGAAAGAAACTAATGCATTTATTCAGTAAATATTTACTGAGAGTGTGTCATGTGCAGGACACTTTCTTTGCACTAATCTTTGCCTTCTTGGAGCTTACATTCTATTAGGGAAACACAGAAGGCAGACAAATAAATAAAGGTCAGTATGTTAGCTTTTGCAGGAAGAGGGAGGTATCGGGTGAGGTGTAGTTGTGTGAGAAGGGGACACTTGTGTGAAGACTTAAAGGAAATGAGGCTAAATATAAAGGTATATATGTTTATATATGCATAATCCCTTTCCTGCTTTGAGTAAATTCATAAACCATTTGCTTTAAATTAACGTAGTACTCCTAGGTAGAAACAAATCTTTTGGAAGTTGCGTGTTTTGGGTTTTTTTTTTTTTTAAAGATTTTAATTTATTTATTTGAGAGATAGAGATCACAAGTAGGCAGAGAGGCAGGCAGAGAGAGGGGGAAGCAGGCTCCCTGCTAAGCAGAGAGCTCAATGGGGGGCTCGATCCCAGGACCCTGGGATTATGACCTGAGCCACCCAGGCACCCCGCATGTTTCTTTTAAAAGCAGTTAAATAGTATCTACTGCTGGTGGAGCCCTGATTATAAATAATTAAGGATAGTCCTGCATGTTCGCCTATTCAAAGATCTGTAACAACTTCATGTCACCTAGGAGTAAACTCCACACTTGGGCTCACTCTGATAGCCATAGCACTTGTTTCCATTCTTCTCTCTACTTTCTTTTAAAATAATCTTAAAATTTAAAGCCAATTTCTAGTGCCCCCTGTTTTGAACCTGCTTTGTTTTTCCCACTAGTTCTTATTTGCTTGTTGTTCTCTCCCCCAAAGCGAATCTGTCATCTGTTGGTGCCTGTCAAACTCCTGCCTAGGTAGCAAAGTCTCCTTCATTCATCTCTTCCTTGAAGGGAACCTGTCTTGATTATATACCGTGTGGAATTCTCCTCTCTAAACATCTTTATACTTGGGGTGTTTGAGTGGCACTGTTACTATTGCAAGCTTTTTGAGATCATTAGTCACCTTTCATACATCATTTCCTTACAGTATTTCTCACTGAGCGTTAGACACATAAGACTATTTGTATAATGTTTTAGCCTTTGCAGATTCCTTTTCACATTTGTTCATTAAAGCTTTCCAAATTCTTAGTTATAAGCACTTGGTAATTATAAATCCCCATTTTACATATAAGGAAACAAACTTAGGATGGGTAAATATCATATAGGTATTGAGGGACAGGATTGTAACTCTAATTTGGGGTTTCATAGTCTAGCTCCTGCTTCTTTTTCCTGTGCTATCTCATCCCCAGTATCTGTTACTACATAAGTGGATGGATGCATGCAGACATGGACATTTTAATCTCAGTTAGAATGCATAGGTGAGACAAATGAACTGAGTATCTCCTATTTGCTCCCCTGCTGTGTACTTCCCATACTTTAAACTTAGAGCATAGTTTAGGCCTTGTGTTTCCTTTATATGAGTAATGAATGATATTTATTTGTCCCCTCTTCATTTAGATGAACTGAAGCACATTATCGGGGCTGAGACAACACGGAAAGGTATTCTTCGTGTTTTTGAAATGTTTCAGCACAACCAGTTAAATAGGAGAATGGTTTATGTCTTCTTGGAAGGCTTTTTGGAAACCTTATTTCCACAGTATAAATTTCGTGAACTTTTCAACAAACTGCATTCACGGTCAAAGCAGATACAGAAATATAAACAGAAACTTCAAACTACTCAAGCGCCTTCTTTACAGAAAAGGTGACACTCCAGTCTCTGAAGCTGGTGTTCATTTTGTCCAGGACTAATAATATGGACAGATCTTCTGGGGCTTAACTCATACACTGTCATGTTGCACCAGTCTTTTACTGTCTCAAAATAGATTATTAATACATCCATTAGACTGTGGTTCTTCTCATCTTCATCTATAATCCAGCCACTACCAAGAGAGATTTCTGTGTCTTAAATGATTTGGTGCATATCTTTGCAACATTGAGATGATACTGCCCCTTCTCAAGCAAGAATGATGTTGGTCTCTTCCATTTCAAACTAATCAGCATTCTCCAGCAATGACAAAGTGCCAGAGTGTATACGTGAGAGCTGAGGAAAGCACAAAACAGTGGTTCACAGATAAACTGGCTAATTTGTTTGGGAGATTGAGCGATGTATGATTTGGAGGGATTTTTTTTTTTGCATAATAATTTTATAGATTTTTATCAGAATTTTGATATAATGTGGATTAGCCAGGTAAATGATCTTTGGAACATCTGCGTCAGGTCTGGGGAAAGTGACAGGATGCCCTTAAAGTATGAAGTAACCTTTCATCCTAATTACAGTTTTGTGACATAAAATAAAACCAATCAAAAACAGAATTTGATTGGATTTGTTATTCATTCGTATAAAACAAATTTTAATTGATTCTTATGCGCTTTGGGCTCTATTTTGCTCTTATGGTACTCAATCATAAGTTTTCTTTTGGTATTCTGTGTGCAAAAAGAAGTATATAGTGGCGATCTCACTTAAGTTTCAAAATTATTACTGTTTTCTTTATCTTTAGGAGATTACTGATTATACAGTAGGGAGTATAATCTCGAAAGAACTGCCAAATACATTCTGTTATTTTAAAAACATGGAAATTTTAAAACAGCACTATTGAAAGTTGCAATGTGACCATTTTAAATTGTGTGATCTAGACATACCTTAGGTGATTGCAAAAGTAGCAAATCAAAGGATTAAATGAGCTTATTAGTCATATGTAAACAGACAAATTCCTAACTCTATTACTGTGTATATATATGAAAATAAATAATGAAAACAGAACTATAATATTTTTTAAAATATGCTTTTATTTATATTTTGCATAATGTAAAATTCTACTAAATAAAGTTGGCAAAACCCCTGGGTGTATACATTTAAGTCCCTGAAATAATTTTATACCAACAATAACAAATTACCTTTTCCAGTTCTGGAGCCTCTGCATTTCTTATAGTTTTCTCATTCTCTGTTTGTCCATCTTGGAAGTCTTCATATCCCTTGTATGCAGGATTTCTGCATAGTTTTAAATACTTACAGTGACTAAGGGTTTGAGTATGTCAGCATTTTTTGTTTTAAAAATATTTAACACTACAACCTTAAAATAGTGAAGCTACTTATCAGACCACTGAGCCAAGACCCTGGTATTAAAAGAACGTCTGGGTGCTTAAGATAAAGGGACAGAGGATAGCTATCCCAGTTATTTGGGAGCTTTAAGATTGGAACAAGATGTTACTGTCTTGTTTTCACTGAGATCCTGCTTAGAAAGTGAAGCCTCATAACAGAATAAAGCCTTCCTTTAAAGCTTTATAGTAATAATCGTATTTATTAATAATGCTGTTGTGCATACTCAGAGTACGCGCCTTTCAGTACATGTTGCATGTCTAAAGAATTACAAAAATGAACCCCATGATTTCATTGCAACCTGCAAATGAGAAAATATCCTTATTGACTCTGGTGGAAGAAATAATATTTTTTCTTTCCAGTGTGTCTCCCTGCCATGGTCCCTCCCCAAGCCCCAGGCTATAAAGGTGAGGATTTGTGAAACGTCTGTAGGAAGCATCAGCATGGCCATAAGTGCAATGATTTTCAAATATACCCTTGCCCATTTCAAGTATATTTTTGACATAAATAAGTCTAAGAATAAACAAGAATTCATTTAAGAGCCTAGTGTGTACATATGAAAAGCATTTCCAGATAATGTGAGGAATGCTGGCCATCAACCAGGGAAAGAAAGGTCCTGCAAAATAGCAACTTTTATAACAGAGCCCTGCAAGATAACTGCAATCATACCAAAAACTATATGAGTAAATGGGTTTTTAAAATAATTTTTGTTTAAAGAGTTTATATTTCAAAAGCAGGAAATATCAAATGGTAGTCTATGTAAACAGTTGTGCATCTTCTCTGCACATCTGTGTTTTACATCAGAGAGAGCCGTGGTTATGCTAAAATTAGAGATACTTTTTGAATGACTTGGTTAAGCTGTGTGTAAAATATTTAATTCATAAGTCAAGTACGGTGTACTATGTTTAATAAAGTTATTACATTTAATGCATTCATTGCATATATAAATACATACCTGAAGAGGCTTTAAGTCTTCTGATATTTGATTTTTTGAATGTGTTTTTAAGTCAGTGGTGCCTTCAGGCAAGAACCTTCAAAATTAATCATTCTTTGGGTTTTCTGATTTTTTCAGGTAACATATAAACTATTTAGAAACCATTACTACTAACAACAGTTCATTCACCTAAAAATTGATTGTATGATTTAAATATAGTGTTTAGCTGGGCATTTCCTCTAATTAGGGTATTCTGAATAGTTGCTGAAAAAATTGTGCCATTGACCAATGGATGCACTTGGTTAGCCTTAATTTTTTTTAAAGAAAAAAAAAAAACTTTCTTGAGTATTTCTGTTAGCTCAGTTTAAGTTTGTGCTGCTGGTGTTTGGAAAAAATCAGTTAAGTGCTACCAGAAAGTGTATCAATTTTTTAAAAAATGAACAATATAAATTTCACAATCTAAAATTTTAATTTTGTGCAATATTTTCATTTAATGCATGTATATTTGAGTAATTGTAAAATAAATGAATTTTTAATGTTTTGAGATCTAGTTTAAACTGTCTTCTTAACCCAACAACTTACATTCCGTTGTTGCTGCATCCTTTTATTTAAGGACTTGTTTTAAAAGTCTTTTTTTGTCACTCCTTGTAAAATTCTTTTGTTAATAGTAAATTTTGCTTATAGGAGCATGTCTCCTGTATTACAAGGGAAAAATATAAAGAGCACATCTTAGAATTATAGTTGTTAAAAGATAACTTGTGCGTATCATTGTACAGTAAATGTCAACTGTGTGCCTAACTATTCTATCAATACTTTCCTTTAACAAAGAAGAAACAACAATCAGAATGTCAGTTATTTTTATTGAACTAAAAAGAAGATTAAAATTTTTATTTGGTTTGCGTTATGTTCTGTTCATTAGAAAATACTAATAAAGTATTAACAAACCTTTTTGTTGAATTTATTTAGTAGTGATGTATTCTTATTACTTTAAAAAGTGCTTGCTCAATGGTCTTATTTTTAGTATCTGTATGTATTTTCCTTTCTTTTCATTTTAGAAATCAAGCAATTTAAGTTCCATATCAATAGAAGACCTGTTGAATGATTACTGACAACTTATTGAATTTAATTTTTCTATTTATGGGGCAAGTAATGTACGACCACAATGTTATAGAAACTTCATACTTACCTATCACACAAAATTATGAAGTCATTTTCCCGTAGAGGGAAAGAGCTGTAATAAATAGTCCATTAACAGTTTTTATTTGATGCTATTTTTAATTCATAGTCTGCCTGATATTTTAGATGTTTTAGTTCTAAAGGCAGTAGGTTTAGTACTCACAGTGTGGCTGTGTCTGGTTGGTCATAGTATTTTCAGTCTTGCATTTGTATCCATAGACTTCTCAGACTTCAGCTGTGAATACTTTTACCCTACTATGGACAGGTGTAGTATTTGTCAAAGTGCATCCTGTAAAATATTGGTTCCTTTAAGATGTTTCTGGGTAGTCATTTTATACTTCTATGTAACTTATGCAAATCTATGTACTATTCCAAACCCTAAAATATTCCTTTACAATCCAAATGATACTATCAAAATTTCTGAAAAGTTCTGTAATAAGTAAGTTCTGTTGAATTTTGTTTACCTAACTTCCCAGACCACAGAATTTTTTTGTCATCAACACCTATTAATAGCTTGATGATAATGTTCCCAAGGAACATGATTTGAAAACTCTTAGCTGGGGGAAAAATAGGTGAAACATTTTTAATTAGGGAATAAACTCTAGATAGAATATAAAACAATGGATTTGGGATTTGAAGTTTTATTTTTAGCCTGTCATTCCAATGGAAAGTTGAGTCTTTGAAAGAAAAAGGAGAACATGAAAAATTAACAGATGGCTGTATAGCAGATATTAGAATTGAATTTGGACCTGCGTACCAGAATAATGAACTCAGTAAGGGTGATATAGTATGTCCCATGAGGAGTGGGAAAGATACTTGCTGAGGATCTTGCTAGTGTGGTTAAGAGGATATTAACTAGGAAGTGCAGAAGGGAGAGAGAAATGTGATATAGTTCAGTTATTCAGTTTTTAAAATGTGTGCCAGACATTGACCCATATGTACTGGCAGATACCATTTGGCCTAGAAAAAAATGGAGCAGCTGAGAACCTAGTACTTCACAAGAAATAAATTTAATGGAATGAAAATTAACTCATTTATCTATGGTGTATGAGAAATGTATGAAATGTGATATTTTAAGTGGGTAAATAATGACCTTTTACATAGCATCAGGTGGAAGAAAAAACAGGATTTTTGTATCGGAAGTCCGCAGGACCGCCGCCTGGTGATTCCCTAGGAGAGCTAACAGACTCAGCCTGAAGTCCTACTCACAGCTAAAAAAGATAAAAAGGGGAAGATCAAAGGGGAAGGATTCATGGGGCAAAGTCTGAGGGAAACCTCCTGAGCTTCCAAGTTAACCTCCCCGTGGACCCTTACAGGAGACACTTATATTCTGCCCTAAGCAAAGGGCACTTAATCCTACCCCACGTGTACTGTTGGCAACCAGGGCAACTGCTTCAAGACTGATTTTTGTTGGGGGTGGGGAGAGGTCCTCCAGGCACCCTTTGCCTGGTATATACCAAAATTCTGGACTCTCCAAAGGAAAGCATGTGTTCTGCATAAGTCGTGCATTTTGTACAAACAATTTAGGCATAGTGAGCCCCCCCCCTTTTTTTTATGAGTTTGGGGAATGGTAGGAATGCTTCTGAAATTAAGTTCTCAGATGCCTGAGATCAAGGGCTAACCTTGTAAGGAGGCCTTTTAAGGGACAGCAGTCCTACCCACTATGTTAACTCTTTTTTCCTCAACTATATACCTTGATCCCAAGAAATGGCTAGTAGTAATAGAGATTTGCACTGAAAGTAAGATTTATTCTTATGTAGAAGCCTCTACATCTAGAGGTGGAAACAGCGGGGAGAATTTAGATGTAGATAAAAGGGAAAAAAGATCAAGTGATATTGATATGGATGTATCGTGCAATCCAAGAAGCTGGAGGAATAGATTTGTGTATTTCCAGTGAAGATTCCCATAACCGTTATTTAGTAATACTCCAAACAGCTTCTTGAGGTATCGATACTGTTCTCCAGTGGATAGATGGGAGAATTCAGGCATAGAGTGATTGAGTCTTTTATCCAGTTTCACAACGGTTAAGTGCACAGGATGAAATCTCAACCGTGGTGGTCTGATTCTGGTCTGTGCCGTACCTTCTCAGGAGTGCTATTGACATTTTAGGCTGCATAATATGTTGTGAGAGCTGTCCTCTGCATGATGGGATGGTTAGCAGCACCCTTGGGTTCTACCCATTAGGTAATTTCTGTAGCACTACGCTTCAGCCCCAGTTATGATAACTAAGAATGTCACAAGACAGTGATATCTGGGGAAAGATTGCCACCAGTTGAGAACCACTGATTTATGCTCATTCATGAAGACAGTGTGTTTTCTTTCTAAGCAAACATGTAACCAATCTGTGGCTTGCCTTGTACGGAGAATGTGAAGGGAATGCCTAACTCTGCCTTAAAAGGAGGGGAAAGTAGGGTGGGAGGGGCAGCAAAACCAAATATTTAACCTTGTCTTATTTAAGGAAGCATCCCATAGTTGAGGGGAGGGAGAGGGAAGAAAGGGATTTTGCAACCTGAAAGTTTTAGAAAAACAAGGTTTTTCTTAAAGATGTAAGATGAACGATTGTATGAGAAAATTGCCATGACCAGGCTATTAACTTGCTAACATGGATACCGTGGGATCTTTTTCTTTCAAATAACTGTTGTCCCTTTTTATTTTGTGAGCTAGCCCTTCTAGAACCTGAAAATTCCCTTTGCAATCTTTGCAAGTCAGTGCCTTCCCCAGACACTCTTTTCCTTTGACAGGTGAGGACCACACTGGGATGCCCAGGTGACTCATCTGACTTTGCTCTCAGGGATAAACCTCGTTCCACAATTAGAGCTTCTGCCCCTGCTGACTGTTTTCTCTTTCTTCTGGTTATTTTTCTGGGTCTTGGTCAAGTCAGTTCTGGTTTTAAGTGCACAGCAGCTTCATTTCTCCATTGATAGAAGCAATGTTGGGAAGCTGGTTTTTGCTTTTTGATCTGATTATCAAGCAGTCATCTGTCTTTTTTGTTTGTCTGCCTGTCTTGGGGATTCTTGATGTCTTTTTTTTTTTTTAAGATTTTTTTATTTATTTGATGGAGAGAGAGATCACAAGTAGGCAGAGAGGCAGGCCGGGGGGGGGGGGGTCGGGAAGCAGGCTCCCCGCTGAGCAGAGAGCCCCATGCGGGGCTCGATCCCAGGACCTTGAGACTGACCTGAGCTGAAGGCAGAGGCTTAACCCACTGAGCCACCCAGGTGACCCAGGATTCTTGATATCTTACTGGCATTTCAGAAATAGGTTTTAGTCAGGCCAATAGCTGGTCCCACCTGTGGGATTAAGATATGCACGTTCCAGCCTACAGGTGTTCCTTCTTCTAGTAGAATCCTCCATGTTGTTTGTCTTATTCATACAGTACTACAAGCTAAAAAAAGTTTCAAGAGAAAAGTTTTCATGCCTGTTGGAAAGAAAGCGGCTTCTTGCAGTCCTTGTCTCTGAACTCCCTCCTTACAATGCTGTTAACAATGAATTGGTAAGTTTTGTTCCTTATTTGTGATTCAGGTTGTAAAAAGTTGTAAAAGTGAGCCTGTTGTGTTTATGCGTGTAAATGGAAACGAAAAAAGTCTTTTACAAATTGTCTGCTGTAATACTGTATTTGTGGCTGGCATTCACCCACTTCATTGCCTCAACTTCTGGAAATTAATTGGGCCTAAAAATTGATCATTTAGAAGTACTATTGGGGGGCGCCTGGGTGGCTCAGTGGGTTAAGCCTCTGCCTTTGGCTCAGGTCATGGTCTCAGGGTCCTGGAATTGAGTCCCACATCAGGCTCTCTGCTCAGCGGGGAGTCTGCTTCCCCCTCTCCCTCTGCCTGCCTCTCTGCCTGCTTGTGATCTCTCTCTCTCTCTCAAATAAATAAATAAAATCTTTAAAATAAAATAAAAAAAAGAAATACCATTGGGATATCTAATATAAAAATACAGCTTAACCATCATATAGGGGAGAATGCATAAAAAGAGCTAAAAAAATTAAAATTAATATCACTTGGTGTTATGGTAAGAGTTGAAACTTAGAATTTTCCTTTTTTTTTTTTTCTTGTAACTTATATTATTGACTATGCATGTTTGATAGAATGGGACTGCAGATTGAAAGATTACTTTTGTCTTGTCAGGAGCTTCATGACTTCTTATGCAACCTGAAGGATGTTGAGTACTCTAATTTTTTTCCTTCTTTCTTTAAGAACAAACAAACCCGTAATGAACGAGACGAAGATATGAAAAAGACCTTTGTATCAAAAACTGAATACACATATGTACTAAAATGGGAAGAAATCTAGCATTAAACTCCTCCAGAGTTTCCTAGATTGCTCAAGAGTTGGATAAAATTCTTTTACTACATGAGTATGAAATATTTTCCAAATGTGTTTGCTGGTAGACTTATGTACCTTTGCTTATCTCCGTAATTGATAAATTAGGTTATAAATTCTTAAATTTACTGAAGGTCCTATCCTGATTGCATAAATAGACTAGGACTTAATATATAAACTTAAAATAAAAGAACCAAATAAGTATCAGAGTCAAAGTAAAAAAAGAAAATCCAGTGGATAAGTTTGCTAGTTTTCTAAGGAAACTCAAATGCTTGCTGAAGGAGGTGGAGTAGAAAAAGTCATTCTCTAAATTAATGGTCTAGATTGCTGGGATGCAAGATAAAAAACAAAAGCATGCATAAGTTATCATATAAAAGAAGAACAGTACTAAGATCTTGTTTTAATAATTAGGTTGGCTAGAGTTGAATTAATTTTATTAGAACTACTTTTGGCTTCATTGATA